TCCTTAGATCAGGGCTCTCCAATCTTGGCAACCTTAAGACTTGTGGACTTCAAGCCCCAGAATTCATCTCTCCGATAACTCTGTTTGCACAATACCTTTACGTTATACACCGAATTAACCCGTTTTTCGATGACTGAGAAAACACACAAAGCTATACCGTCTGTCCTCTTGGGAAGAGAGGAATTATTCATGTGCGAACCTTCCTTGTGGTTTTTCTTTGGCCCAGAGATTATAAGCAAACTGAAGCACCCCATGATGTTGTTTCGTCCAAGTGTTGCCCTGGAAAATACCCCTTTGGAATATATCCAGCTGATGAAGCAGTGCTGGAGTGAAGTGCCCAACCGAAGGCCGACGTTTGACAAGATCTTTGAACGGGTGTGTATAAAAAAAAAAAAACCTGTAGAAGATGTTTTATAGACGTCACTTTGCACCAGCAAAACTAGCAAAGATGTTCAAAGGTAAACCAGCCAAATGCTGGAAGTGCCACCAGACATCTGGAACATATTTCCATATGTGGTGGTCTTGTACTGAAGCTAAAAGATATTGGACAGAAATAAAAAGAACAGGTGTGTTTACTTATTATACAGAGTTTAAATTTATTTATTTATTATCCTGTTTGAGCGGGGTGGACGGGGGTGGACTAGTGTTTACTTATTATACGGAGTTTAAATTTATTTATTAATTATCCTGCTTGAGCCGGGGGGGTTGGGGTTGGACTAGAAGACCTCCAAGGTCCCTTCCAACTCTGTTATTCTGTTCTGTTATCATAAACTTTGAATGGTCGTTTAGCAGCCGGTCATAATTTGAGGACTACCTGCCGATGCAAGTGAGATACTAGGAGGAAGTTCTCGTGGTGGCAAGAAATGTTAGCCAGTGGAACTGACTGACACAAGAAGTTTGTCAGGACTCCGGCAGTTGCTCCAATTAAATCATGAGCCTCGAGCCACGCTCCCAAAACTAAAGAGGATTTATTTGAAGTTAACATTCTACATCCGGCACTAACCTGGGCGTAGCCAACTCTGAGATATATAATTCGCTGTCACCCTTGATCCTGGTCTCCCCCGCCCCCACCCCTCTGGGTGTATCATCCAACGAAACACATCCATAGCCAAGAGTCATCAATCATGCTCTCCAATTAGACTTTTGCACCGCAGAAGCTTCAGTCATCCAATCAGTCTTTGAAGAAAATATGAATGGAATGTCTTTTCGATTCCACACTGCCGCCTTCTCTCTGAAAGTCCCCCCTTCTTTCTGTTGTCAACTATAAACCGTGTATACAAAATGTTTTATGTGTTGACATTCGGCTCCCCTCACTTCTTGAAGGTGACCTGAAGGTGGACAAAGTTAAGTATTCTCTCTTTCACTGGAGATCTCCAGAGAAGTTGGAGGATTATCTGACAGAGATAGTCTGAGTGCAGGGGTGTCCAACCTTAGCAACTTTAAAATGTGTGGAGCAGAGCTGGTACCCAGCGGGTTCTGACCAGTTCTGGAGAACCGGTAGCGGAAATTTTGAGTAGTTTGGAGAACCGGCAAATCCCACCTCTGACTGGCCCCGCCCCCATCTATTCTCTGCCTCCCAAGTCCCAGCTGATCAGTTGGGTCTTCTTTGGTTGTCCTGCATAGGAGAATGGAGCTGGAAAGCAGGTTAAGTGGGGTGGGGAGGGAAGGGGGATTTTGCAGGTATCCTTCCTTCCCCTGCCATGCCCACGGAACCGGTAGTAAAAAATTAGGAATTCCACCACTGGTGTGGAGAGTAGACAGCGAGAGTCATGAGACTAAACATGACTGATGTAGAGAGGTATAAGAGCCCAAGGGAGGAACAAGGCATATTGGTCAAAAAGTCAGCAAGAGTTGAAATATTAAAAAGAATAAGAGCCGATGGATAGATACAGAATACCTCTTAATATGGGATTTACCTTACCAACGATTAGAAAACAGAGCTAGTAATTAGAAATGGGGAAAACGTTATTATGCGTGCTGCCACATGATATATAAGTTGCTATAGTTATTATGTATAGGCAAATGTTAGAAGTTGAAAGACTACTACTATGTTTTCTTGAAAAGTAAAGAGTAAGAGATGATGGATAGATATATAATACTTGATGGATAGATATATAATACTTCTTAATGTGGGAATTGTTGCATTAAGGGTTAGAAAAAAGAGGTAGACATTAGAAATCGGGGGAAATGTTACTATCTACATATTATGTTACAAAACATAATATATTATAAATACAATGCCTATGGAAAGCTTAGAAATTGAAAGATTACTATCATGTATACCAAAACAGTATTATTATTATTATTATTATTATTATTATTATTATTATTATTATTA